CGGGGGGTACCAGGGTGCCCGGGAGGAGGTCCCGGGGGGTAGAGGGATGCGGGAGTGCCCGGGGGGTACCGGAGTGCCCAGGAGGCTCTCCCGGGGGGTAGCGGGGTGCCCGGGAGGCTGTCCCGAGGAGTAGAGGGATGCGGGAGTGCCCGGGAGGCTGTCCCGAGGGATACCGGGGTGCCCAGGAGGCTCTCCCCGGGGGTAGAGGGATGCGGGAGTGCCGGGGAGGCTGTCCCGAGGGATACCGGGGTGCCCGGGAGGCTGTCCCGGGGGGTATTGGGGTGCCCCGGGAGGCTGTCCCACAGGGTGTGGGGATGCCCCGTAGGGCAGAGAGGAGATCTCAGTTCCCTACAGCTTTTCTCTGGATGCTGACTTACTTGCCAGCTGCCCGCTGGAGCTGCGGTAGGAAATCCACCCTGCTGCCTGCAGACAGGCTCATTTGTCAGCCGAGCTCCGCAGGACTTTTCGTTAAGCGTGTGCAGTGTGATGAGACCGTGATGTCCGTTTGTCCTCACTCCATCCACGTTTCTGTCCGTCCACTCAGATTTTTGAACTACCCTCCCCCACCCCTGCTATCCCTCTGGTACCCGAGCACAAATTCCTGATTTGCCCAACGATCATATCCACCCCTACATACGCAAATACCTTTACATGGAAGAATAGTCCCCCTTAAAATCGGTGAAACCACTGACATGCGTGTGAAATATATTTGCGGGCTTACAGCCAACAGTTACACTAAGCACTGTACTGAATGCAGCACAGAAAGACCCGAAATCAGACTTTTCCCCGCTCACTTGAACAAATTACCCCTAGGCTGGCTGCAGAATCTGGCCCACAGTTGGTAAGAGATATCTACAAACACAACACGATATTGCTCTCAGAATTTGCTCTTCTCCTTTGAGAGTACATAAAATGTGGAAAGAGCTATCAGCTTCATGCCTCGGCTGCCTGATTCTAAAGGCTTCATTATTTCATTGCCTGTGGGAATGTCCTTTTAATTTGAAATGTTTGTCATAGATTATAGAATTTTTAAACAAACTTGCACATGAAACACTTGACTTAGATCTGTTTTTCCCCCCCCCCCCCCCCTTTGCTTTTTTTGGGCCCCCTACCCCTGCCAGTGTCAAGGCACGGTGCAGGCAAGAGGGAAGCAGCTTCCGTTGTTGCTCTGCCTTCTGTGTCCGGCAGAGCGGTGCCCGTTGCCTGAACGTGAGCCGTGACTCCTGCGTTGAGGCTCCGTGGTGTCGGGGGGCAGTGCAGCCGTCCCTCACGGCATGCTGGCCAGTGCCTAGCTGGTGGCAGGCTCGTGGGTTTGGTGTAGTCTGTGGCGCTGTGCTCACGCTCTGTGTTCTCTCTCGGGGCCAGCGTCTCGGCTGTCAGGCGGGCTGTCGCGTGGACAGGCCACTTGTGCCCTGACCTCTCCTCTTCCCTTGCAGGAAGCTGCAAACATAGTGCAGGCGCTGGAGCTGTTTGCGAAGTCGGACACGCTGGGCGGGGAGAACGCCTACATGTGTGCCAAGTGAGTGTGCGGGGCTGCGGGCGGGAAGGGGCCTGTGGGCGTGCTGGTGGGAAGCAGGTAGAAAACCTGCCGCAATGTAGGAGGGCTCCTCTACCTGCTCCACGGCTAAACCGTGAGGG